GAGTACGCAACACATGCACCACCCTAACATCGAATATGTTCCCCAAACTGGCAAGCTGGTGGCAAGTTAATGACAGGAACGACCAGTGACATCATATAAAAACATGATTACGCTCCACTAAAGACATCTGAGTGAGTCCATAGATCAAACAGACAGGGTGATGAGTTACAGCACTAACACACTGGCTACTGGCATCACTTTAAACGGGAGCCTTGGTAACAGAATTAAAGTCTGCCTCTATAATTTTAATGGAAAATTTCACCGCAAACAAAAGTGATACAGAATGAATAAATATTGCTCTCACAGACACACAGGGAGAAGATGAGATGAGAGAGAGCTCAGGCATTGCCAAGAGGGAGTTTCTGTTGCATCACCAATGCAGTGTTTTTTATTTGTGATGTCTTCAAATGAACTGACAGTCTCAGTGGGAGAATAATGTGTAATCATTAGCAAAGGGTTTTCAAATTATTTATGCAATATAAACCACGATAATTTACTCCCACTTTTTTTTTCTTATACTGCCATTAACGAGTAACTTGGAAACCAATAAATGTCACCATTGCTTTCACTTAATTAAAACAATAGGTATCATATTACAAGGTAAGGTGTCAGTCATACCACAGTCTTCCTGCACATAGCAATTTACGGCTAAAGCGTTATGAGAGAGGGTGACACAAATAATAGCTATTAAACTGTCAGCGAGTGGAGGCTGGATCACATTACTGAAATTAGCTAAGATGCACTATTATAAACAATGCCATTGTCTCTTAACACATGCATACATGCACATCGATAAAGTCACGTGAACACGGAGATGGAGAACACAGTTTAAAATAGCGAGATACATTTACAGCCGTGTTTTAAGCTTAATATAAAATGCTTAATGCATGCCTTTTATGTATTATTTTGATTGATCATTGTTTTCTGACAATTTAAAGGAATACTCACCCACATAATGACCATTTCTAAATATATTAGTCATGCTGTGTTACTTTGAATTTGTGAAGAAAACTTAATAATTAAAAAAAAGCAAACATATTGATTTATTGATTGATTGGGGACCTTGGTTAAGAGCAGCAAAACTATATTCGTCACGTGATACACCTCACGGTGCAACCTGGAGACATCATCACTGATGAACCCAGGGTCATTAGGTGTTTGGGGTCTTGAGCAGTATAATCCAAGTCTCATTTATCCAGTCGTGTGCTCAGTACTTCCCAAACACAAGCATTACGCTTAACAACCTTATTATTAGAGTCTGGCTTTGGAGAGAGCATAGATAAGTTCACTTTCAGTTCACTTTGAAATAGTAAAACTTTAGCAAAAATGCCTGAGCGCTGAGCATACGACTGGATAAATGAGACTTGGATGATACTGCGCGTGTTGTGTACGAGTTTCTAGATGTAAGTTTTGATATAGTTTTACTGTTAAATGTGGTCCCCAGTCAGTTAATAAAGCATGTTTGCCATGTTTGCCATGTGAGAAAAGAGTCTAACTGATTTACAAATGGTGATTTCTGCAGTGAAGTATACCTTTAAGAGTCTAAAAGTGCTTCTAATGTCCTGCTTCTAATCCTGGACTGTCCATCACTCACCTGGCCGAGGCACAAACTCCAGGACTCTCATAGAGAACCACATAAGACCGAGGCCAGTGCTTGATTAATGATGTGACATCCTCTCATGTCCTTTGTGCTGGCATGATACCCATGTTCCAATCTGTCCAGCTCAAAGTGAAATTACAAACGCAGTCCAACAGGCCGCATGCTTTTTAAGTTAACTAAGGGCCACGGCAGTGTTACTGATTTAAAATGGCATTTTTTATCCCTCACTGTCAAATGCTCACTGTAAATAAATGGAATATTAAACAATAATGCAAAATCACAAACACTCTCAACACTCAGTGGTTCACCTCACTCAGTCAACTGTGAAGGTTCAGCGCTGATGGGATTTATGGCACATGACATATCCACAGGCAACACTGACATCTGCTGGTTTAAAGTAAGGATTTGTTTGAAAAAATCTTAAATATTTTCTTTATGAGTATGCTGCCTTTATCATACATAACAGACACTTCCCAGTAATTTAAAAAAAATTCTTACATCACAATTATCTCAACTGTATTCAGCTTAAACATTTGCAGAACCCACTGTCCCAACCCTCATTCCCGAAGCCCTCCATTTCCCATTTAGCATGGATCAATTGAGTTGTGTTACACACTTATCAGCAGGACTAATTTATTTATGAACCTGTCATTTGTAATCATTGATCAGGATGTTTGCCGTTAAGGATCTAATGATATGCAGAGGTAAAAGATTCCCTAATTATTGTGTTTGGTCTAACTGATGCTGTGTGCCTCTGTAAGAGGGTTCAGGGGGGAGCTGACTGCTGCCCCGTCTGCCACACTAACAGACACGCCAGCAGAATCCGAGCAGATTCACTGGGACTGAAATTGGGCATTTACTGAGAATTTGTTTCATTACAGCACTCAGTCTGTGTAAAATAAAATACTCCTACCAAAGCTGGTTCTGTCTCATTTAGCAAATACAGTGACTGCATAACAGAGAGAACACACTGGTATTAGATGAAGTGGGCATTAGTTAAAAGCATGCAAATAGCAAGCCAGAGGCAAATTTGGGTCTAATCAAGGCATTCTTATCTGCCATGTTTTATTTGGCCTTTGAGCCACAGTATTTTAAGGCATACCGTATCACCACCACTTTACTCTGCTTATAATGTCCTTTCAGGGCTTTCTCTTTGCTCCATACAAGAGTTTCAAGTTTAAAGGATGGCAATCCAGAGATCTTTTATTTGGTTTGTTAAACTTATGAGGAAAATTCTTTAGTTTGAAATTTAGAAATGCAGTTCAGCACAACAGGGCATGTAGTCGTCATAATTATTTCCCTGACTTTTTTACTTATTAAATACAGAAGCGTATTGCTGCCACATCAGGAAAAAAAATAATGGATCAGTATTACGTTATAACATGAAAGATTTATTGGTTTGTTGTTTTTCACATTATAACAATATAGTTTCATGTTAAAACCTGATCATTTATATTGTAAAAACATGAAAAGTTTCACATTATAACATAGGTTCATATTATCCGTGTTTTGGACCATGTTGATGCCTGTTCATTGCAAATAGCCAGGTGTCAAATCACAACCGGGCGCACCTCCTCCCGAGACCAAATATTGCATTATAATGTGGAACTTTTAATCTTAACAATATAAATTATCACGTTATGACGTGAAACTTTTCACGTTCTTACACTATAAATTATCACATTATAACGTGAAACTTTTCATGTTTTTACAATATAAAATTAACACGTTATAACATGCAACTTTTCACGTTCTTACACTATAAATTATCATGTTATGAGGTGAAACTTTTAATGTTCTTACACTATCAATTATCACATTATAACAAGAAACTTTTCACGTTCTTGCAATATAAATTATCACGTTTAAATGTGAAATTATGTTGTTATAATGTGAAAAACTTCTTGTTAGAACAATAAACTTTTCACGTTATAACGCAATACTGACCCATTATCTTTTTGCCTGGTGTGGCAGCGATATATTTCTGTAATTACAAAATGCAGAGGCACAGATATAGTATTTACATTGTACTTTAATTAAAGCTGTTTTTGTGTTACATCGTTTTGATTAGTGTATATACTGAAACCATAGAACATCTTTTGGGGTGTTAACATTCACCGGATCACGATCTATATTCAGTTTCTTATATGTTGCCAAAGCACAATTACAATTTAAGACAGAAACAATTAACAACAAGGTATTATTTCCTAATCATAGACATAAATGTTAAAGAAAAAAAAGTAATTGAGTGAAGGGGTAAATAAAAAAGGCAGAGTGTGATCTGTGAGGGGATGAACTATATGTTGTGTTGGTTGTCTCCTAGGCTGACATGCACATGTTTTACTGCATCCATGGCGCTGACACTATTTTCTTCAAGTAGATGTTAAATTTTAGTCTGGTCAGAGAGTGAATCAGAGTCTTGGAGTTTACATTTAATTTTTGTAAAGAACATTGTTTTTCGTATGTGCTACATTGTAGCAGTAAATGTTGCTCTGTCTCCACCTGTCTCTGAGGACAGACCTGACACAGCCTGTCTTCTGTAGGCAGTCAGGTCTATCAGTCTCTATGTCCAGGCTGTGATCACTGAGTCTGTACATAGTCAGTATCTTTCTTAGTTTCCGATCTGTCACAGTGGTCAGATAGTTTGCCATTGTGAACTGTCTGTTTAAGCCAAATAGCCCTGAAGTTTGTTTTGTTTTGTTTTTGTGGAAGAAGTTGAAGTAGTTTTCTTTTTCTTTAGCTATAATTTGGTTGGGCTGGATTATGTGAGGGTTGTCCTGAGGCCTCACACAACAGACCAGCTGGCAATGCTCCTAAACACCAGATTATGTTTTGGTGAAGTTGGCAATGTTTCACATTTTTGGTCATTGAACACAAACTCTTAAATTGTGTAAAAAAAACCCCAAATTTAAATAAACATTCACCAACAAGAGGACCATTTTATTTGATTCACGTATTTTTAGTAAGTCCCCAACCACATCGAGACAGATTCTATTTCAGTCTTGTCAGCTATGTTAAGGTCAGGCTTGACAGTTGTGAAGAATCAGGGCTGGAACAAACCAAACCTCCTGTACAGCAGGATGGTGCCAATCATCCTTGTATTTTTAATTTTTCACCAGTAGTGGCCAGTCTCGCTTCAACTGCCTTGTCAAGATCCTAAGATCCATCCTCAGGAAGTAGAGTTGCTGTGACTGTAAAGAAATATACTTAAGCAATCCTAATCCGAAGTAAAACAAACTAAAAAAAAATCATTTTAAATTTCAACCTAAACTTTGAAAACTACAGCAGTTACTCATACAAGTCCTGTATGCTATAACTGGGCTTCAGAGACAGAGAGCATGTGAGCACCAGATGGCAGCAAAGCGTTTGCTTTGATGGTCTCAAAAAAAGACAACAAGACTAACTGTTGAACTGATGTTTATTATATTACTGAATATTCACAATGTTCATATGAAACAAGATATCATTTGAGTAGCAGAATCCTAAGGTATACAGACGAACCTTATTTGAAGGTGCAGAAGAGGAAGTTTACCATCAAGAAATAAAGTGATTTAATTTGGGGTTTATTGGCTTCTTTTGGTCGGTCATACAGGATGGATCAGAGACATTCTTAAAGTAACTGGGGTAAATTATTATAATGTGAAGTCAATCCAAACATATAACAATAAAAGGTCGTCAATATTCTAACTAAATCTGCAGAAGTCTAAGATAGAAAATGGTCAGTAAAATGCATTGATTTAAAGCAAAGTATAAGCTTTGGAATCCGACTGTATAAGGAATGCAAAGAGCAGCTTTCATGAAACACAATGTCACCATTCATCACCATTTCAGATGAATATTGTTTGAGCAACATCTGGTTAAAAATACATTAACAACAATTAACATCACGTGCTTAACACAGCATTATTGCAGCCCGTCCAGCAAATCACCACATGGATTCATCTTGGGTACATTTCTGCATCTGATTCACAAAGTCACTTAGTGAGTGCGAGGGGAGGGCTGTGTTTTGGGCCGTTAGCCTGAGCTTTTACGCCCACATGCTCCCGCTTCTCAGTCGGTCTGTTCAAGGTGGGGCTGAGGCCCCTGAGTGCTGCTGGGGGCAAGCGAGACACCCCATTCACTGTCAGCGTTCCACTGTCTATTGGGCAGATATAGTCTGCAGATTCATCAGGTCTCCTCTTTCTGAGGTGACTGAATTGGGTGAAGCCCAGCTTCTTTGGCTGAAAACATAAAAAATTCAACCTATTAATAAATCACTGAGATTAACACTGCAACAATGACAGAACATTTGATCCTTATATTCTTACCTTTACTTTAGCAGTGGTAGTGAGAGGCACATGGCCTGTGGCATTGCCATACTCTCGCTTCTCCTGCGTGGCCTGATGCCCCACTAGGGCAGAGAAGGCAGTGGCGAGGTGGCGCCGGAGCAAAGTCTTCTGTGGAGGAATATTTAACAGCAGGGCCAAAGTTTCTGAGCTGAAGCGAGGCTCCAGGATCTACGGAAGAGAAACAAAGTAGTAGTAACAAATGTAAGTCTCCAGGACTGTAATGTAGGCATGCAATTCCGGTATGACTTGCAGGGAAGCTTAAGATCTACAATACTCACAATCAGCCCGCCATGAACGCCGCTGCCCCGTAGATTAGGAGCATATTCAGCCAGATCCACTGCTCTCAGCCACTCCATCACGCGATGGTTTGACCACTGCACCACCTCCGAGGGAGAGGGCTGGTTCTGAAGAAATTAACAGTAATAATAATTAAAATTAATCAGCATTATACCCTCCTATACCTATACCCTCTCACTCCTAAATGTTTTTCTCTTCTTCTAAAATACACAAGAAGTGGGCAAAATAAAGCTTAAACAGAGGCAGAGAAAATGCTATGTGTTTGAAAGCTTTTAACATCTGTCGCCATCTTGTGGGCATCAGATGCAATAACACCTGTTCAAAATTTACACATGTAAAAACACACGAAACAAAAAGAACAAGTGCTACATAATACAGTACAGACACAATCCACTACTTCAACTCGTGTTTCCGTCTTAGCTTACCTCTTCCCCTGGCCTACGTCGAAGGCAGTTGGGGTTGAACTTGTTGGCGTGAAGAACATGGATGGCACATTTAATACTGAGATGATGAAGCTGGCTGGTGACCTTCAGAGTCAAGAGGTCATTCTGAGTGAGCAACAGGAGAAAATCAGTTAAGTTTATAGAAATTAAACAAATTCATACCATTGTTTAATGTTTTTTAATCATGTCTGAAGTTTCAAGGACCAGTGTGTAGGATTTAGGGGGATATACTGTCAGAAATGCAATACAATATAAGTATGTTTGCTTTCTTCTGTGAGGAGTCTGACATGTTGCACTGCCATGTTTCTACAGTAGTCCAGAACAAACAAACCAAACATTCACTCTAGATAGGGCCATTTGACCATCGGCAACCATGGTTAACCGCCCCTCCATGATAAGCAGTGTTGGAAAAACACTTATTTTTTTGACGTGAAACTGCTTATTTTAGTGTTTTTGCCAGTTTAAATCACTGGGTGTGTTTGATTTGGAGAGGAGGAGACCTCTGCAGATAATTCAGCTCCTAATAAAAACCTCCTGAACAACTGAATCTTAAGTTATCAGAGAAAGAAAGTGAGCACACATTAGGTGCTAGGCTAGCGGCCTGTCTGCGATGACTGGAACAGCATCAGAGAGGCACTGATTTGTCACATGAAACTACTATATTCAGGGTTTTTTTACCGGTTTAAGCACCGGGTTTGATTGTTTCCAAGGAGAAGGGATTCTTACCAGGAATTCATGTTTGACACACGGAAGAATTTTTAGCTGGTTGCAACCTGCAGTTCTCACCACTAGATGCCACTAAATCCTACACACTGCTTATTTAAATAAATATATTTGCAGGTCTCTACCTAATAGCAAGTGTTACAGTACATGTTGGGTTAAGTCTTACCACTGTGAGGTACTGTATCATTCGACCATCCACTCGAGCTTCATGGAAGTGGTCTTTATACTGAGGCAAACCAATATCATCCAACCAGCCTAAATGGGTACAGAAATCAGACATTAACTCACTTCACTCACTAAACTTCGGAGCGTTAAATCAAGTATCATCAGCTGCCAAAACATGTTCACGGTAACTGCTCAGTAAAATAGCTTGCAGTTCCTGGTTTTGAATACTGACTATATTTGCATTTTTTGAATATATTTACATCTCACACATTACATGTCTTTGTTGGGCTCGTTTCACAAGAAGTCCCACTCTCTATTTGTAGATCATATTCAAATCAGAACACGCAGAGTGAGAGGTTCGAAATATTCCGTGTAGAAAGAGTCTTACGGGTGACCCAGATGTGGTCCAGCTCTGCCGATTTCTCTACAACTTTGGTGGTGAACGCCTTCAGAGCGAGCTGCAGCTTCTTCCTGTGCAGTGGATTCTTCATACCCATCTCCTGAGGTCAGAGAGGACTGTTTGTTGCAACAAAACTAAACTTTGCGGAATAATTATTGGTTTACTCACACGCCATGCAGTTTAATTCAGCTGATAAACCTTTTTACATTTCCGATTTATCCATTTTTATTTTCTTTCTTTGATTTTATACTTGATTCACTTAATGCAGAATCACTGAGTTGTAAATTCAAGATATTTTCACAGTGTTTACTTTAAAGTGACATTATTTGTACTGTTGTATTTACCTTCTCAAAGTCCTGAGGTGTGGCTGACAGCAGTGTCTGTCCACTTTCAACCCACTGTCTGGTGAGGTTGACATACTGGCCTAGTCCGTAGTCCTCTAGCCAGCCACACACCTGCTCCTTGGTCCACTGGCTGAATGGAATATTCATATCACTGGGAAAAAAAGCACAAATCAGATCATTTATTTCTTCAGAATGGTCACCTTAATTCTTCAATCACAGCATACTTTTAAGGTAGAAAGTGCCATGGTAAAAAAAAAAAAAGCCCTTAAGCTACTTTTTATTTGTGTATTTTAGGGAAATGGTGTAAGTAGACCAGACTAGATTATACATAACAACAGAGTATGACAGTTGCCTAGCTGATACAAAACCCTTTAACACTTAAATTAGGAGTGCTGTATACCACATCAGGCAGAGGCACATTGCGCTTTACCGTGCAGGGTTAAAGGACTCAGGGGTCCTAGTCAGTCTGGGTCCTGCTGTCGCACGCAGCCCCCCTCTTTTAAACTGACCGCCATCTGGATCTGCTGCCTGGAGCCCTCCAGACTGGGTTCTTCGAAGTCTGTACGGGTGAGAGTAAACTTGCTAGAAGCTGCTTTCATTTTCAAAGTAAAATGATAATAGCTTTGGCACAATCGGTATATATTAATGTCATTGTTGATACGTAAAAATAATAAGATGTGAGACAATGGTGATAATTGAAAATTGTTTTTCATCATATTCATTAATTTAGTTTTGTGAAATTGTGTAATTACGGTAATTCTATAGTAAGGGTAGTGACATAGTACAAGGATAATTTAATATGTGCTTAAATTATTTCTTAGTTAAAAAATCCCTCTATATTTTCCTCTCTTTATATCCCATAAACCTGCGCATTGATCAGCCACAACATTACAACCACTCACAGCTCTCAGGTAAACGGAATAATATTGATCATCTTGTGATAACACCACTTTTTGCAAGAATCTTGGGCATTCATGTAGATATCACCTGACACACTCCTCCTAGCCAAACACTGTTGCAGACAAAGTAACCCCCCTCTTGGCAACAGCATCCCTGATGGCAGTACCGCCCCCGAGTAGGACAATGCACCATGCCACACCGCAAAAACTGCTCAGAACTGCCCTGAGGAACATGACAAAGAGTTCAAGGCGTCAACCTGGCCTCCAAATTTGCCAGATCCAATCCTATCAAACATCCGTGGGATGTGCAGGTACACCACCTCGCAACCCACAGGACTTAAAGGATCCATCACCAACGCGCCCCCAGAGGTTTTGCATCCATGCCTCTACAGGTCAGAGCCAAGTCCAAACCAAGGAGACTCCACAGTGGATCGAACTTGGCTCTGGGGTACTGGCATGTTCCATAGATGTTCGATTAGATTGGGATCAGGTCACGAGGGTGGGAAATTGGTCTGCAACAGTGTTTGGGTGGGTGGAGTGTGTCAAGTGGCATCCATATGAATGCCAGGGCCCAAGATTTCCCAGCAGAACACTGGATTGTAATGAGATGATCAAAGTTATTCACCTCACCTGTCAGTGGTATTAATGCTGTGGCTGATCAGAATAGAACATATTCTGTGTAAACCACATGTTATTTAGACTTACTGTACATATTCATACATCTACTTTGGTCCTTATTTTTGCTCTACTTTACTGTCATTTGTGTTGGCACATTGTTGATGCATCAGTGTACCCTCCCACACTCACTTTCCCCAGAGTCTCTTGAAGCTCCTGTTATTCTTCATATATTCTGGTGAGCCCACAGCTCGTTGGCCGGGCTGTGTGTTTGCTCCAGAGTGAACAGGGGAATTATCGCTTGAAGTGCTGTCATCAACTTTCTCCAACTTTCCTGTAAGAGGTTACAAAAACCACAGTCAGTGTAATGTGACTAAGTATAAATATGTTTTCAATTGTATGTGAAGGGCTACGTAGATGCAACACTTCCTAGATGCATGTGCGGCAGTGTACTTGTGATAATTAGAGCAGACATAGCCTCACTAAAAACTGTCTAAATTTATAGTTTCCTGTGATTGAGGCCTTGTTAAAGACAAAATCTTGATGACTAATTAGAAAGCAGTAAAGGCACTTTTATTCTTTTTTGCACACCAAACAGAACATTAAGAGCTGAGTAGCGCATGTGTGGTGGCCGCCTTTTCATAGCACTATATTAAGGTGATGGAGCGCAGGTTACAGACCATTGAGTTCAGCAAATAATTCATCGGTTAATGCCCTGTGAAAAATGAAGGGTTTTAAGCTAAATTTTACAAGGTGTGATGTTTATGATACGGGCCGCAGTCAGTCAGCGCTCCACAGCAGAGCGCAGCAGAGAGAAATCAGGGTGTGGCTCAAGTTAAAACTGGTCAGTGAAGCTGAGGAAGGGTGGAGCTGAGATGAGTGTGGTCAATCAGCGAGAGAGAGGGTGTGTTTGGTAAGAAAGTCTATGCCATGATCCATCTGCTCTGTCAGGAGCCTCTGCAATTAGACGTGATCAAAGGTAGAGCTGTCGTCTGGTTGAAGGAGAGTGGTTTGCTCCAAATATGAATACTGCCGCTGGCTCATGGGAATAACTGGCCTCAAGACTATTCCACAGGAAAAAGGAAGTCTGATCCTACATCAGGGATTATTACTGCACACAATTCATAACCATGTAAAGCATGAGTTAATATGTCTACATTTACTTTGGCTGGAGTCTCCATCTTCGCTCCCATCTGGAGACCTTTGACTCTGGCTTTCACTGCTGTCTCTGCTCCCATTCTGCTCTGACAGAGAGGCATTCACAGGCAGCGTCTGACTTCTGGTGTCATCCAGACCACTCTGGATAAACCACACACAGACACAAATAGAAAAGACAGTAAATGTAAATTTATGTGCTAGGGATGCTCCTAACGACCAGTGTTTTTTTTTAACATTTAAACGATAGTCTAAACTTAGACCAGAGAAAACACTAAGAAAACAGTCCAAATTGAGCATGAGTCTATCAGGTTAATATTGTTGGAAATCGTTTATCACACTTTTCTTTAACCATATTGGATTTTAAACACAGCTGAATTGCGTGGCACTTTACATGTGAACATTGCACATTATCCTAAAAAACTTGACAAGTTAAGTTACAGTTAACAAATGACATTTACTAATCACCACATTTTTTAGGAAAGTAAATCTTGAGAAAATGTGCCTGATTATTAAAAACGTCATTTTCATTTGGTGAAGACAGTCACACAGGATAATAATGATTTTAATTATAAGTTTAACCGACTAGTATTTCTGGTGCCAACAAGCGAGGATAGCAGGCAGCATTTAACTCCTTAAAACCTGAGCAAATTGGCTTGATTTCTTTCAAAAACATGGGAAGCAGGCAATGGGCAACAAAACCCAAAACATTTGCAAGAAATTAGTAGAAAGGGAAAATTAAAAAAATAGTAAAACCTAAAAAAAAGAAAGAAAGTTAAAAACAAGCAATTATATTAACTATTATGAAGAGTTTTTTCTTAGCTTTTTTTTTTTTTTTTTTTTCCCCTAATTTTTAAAAAGTATTTTTCTGAATCTGTTATTTTTTCTTGCAATTTGTGGGACATTTCTTACCAAGTTGCTCATTTGCTTTTCCCCCATGTTTGCAAAAGAAATTGTAACACTTAGCTCAGAGTTCAAAGGTTGAAATACTTGTGAAACACATCTGAAAGCAGCACAAGAAAAGTGATGTCGCGCCAAGTTTCAAAGGATGAATCGACTAGTTGACTAATCACACACATCCCTAATATGTACAGAGCTGTGTACTGTACAAATGAGCAAAGTCTCAAAGTTCTCTCAAGCACCAATCATGAAAGAGACGGTACAGTAGCTGGTATATACAGTAGAAAAATGGATTTAAAAAAAAAATTAGAAGCATTCTGGGTTAATTATATTCATTGAAACAGAAATGACAAAGTGCATGTTAGATCTATATGACGATAACAAACTACCTTCTGTAAAGATCCATTTGTCAGGTCACTCATGCTACTTGATAAAGTCTGCGGCTCTGTTCTGTGAAGATAAAACACAACAGTCTCAGTAAAATCCAACTAAGACATATTGGAGTCGTCCATTGATGGAAAGCTGCTTCACTACCTGGAGTCACTGTCCTTCTGGGCTGATGATAGAGATGTCTGTTGGGAAGAGGAGGAGCTGCTTGTGGAAACCTGTGATGGGTTAAAAAAAAAATCAAAATCATGTTCATGGAAACAAAAAACTTTAAGGAGTAGCTGATATTGTTTGCACTCACTTCAGACTTTACATCCACAGATTTTGCACTGCTGGTGTCACCATTCTTCATCAGTGCATGCTCTTCTTCTTCACTGCTGCATGACGGGGTCCTTCCATTTGACAATGAACGGACAGCAGATGGAGCTATAGTAACAAAGAGAAGAAATACCTTCTCTCAAATCGAGCATTGGCTTGTGTTTCTGCCAAGGAGGGAAGTGTGGTGGCTTTTATTGTGCTCAGACATTTGTTGCTAATGTAATACAAATGACACAAGGGAAGTGAATCAGCTGTTTACCTTGTCTCGTGGTGTGATTGACTTCTCTGAACTGCCGGCACTGATTCAGGAGGAGAGTGAGCTCCTCAATACGTCTGTCCTGAAGACAACAGAGAGAGGAAACCCAGTTAAGATGTTTATCTAAGGTTAGGAAACACACATATGGACTGTCGGCTTCACTCACTTACTAACCATAACACCACACAAACGCCCCTCTTTCACCATATGGCCTTTACATCAAAGCAGTGGATAGGGAGGGGACTGACACAAGCCTGGCTGGAAATCTCAGTTGTGGTAACCAGCTGCGTGCAGTGTGTGTGTTTTTTGAAGTGGTGCCCATGCCTGGTTTTGTCATGGTTCTCTTAATGCAGCTCACTCCAAAATTAGGCTTGGCAGGTCGAGGCCTACTTAAGTGTGGCTTTGCCTGAAATGGCTCGCCTTGGGGTGTGTGGACGTGTGTGTCTTCAGTAGTGTGCCACATGTAGGCCTGCGTCTGTGAGTCTTTAAGGTCCAAAATTCTCTGGGAGGGAGAATACAAAAGCCCCTCTGTACTATAAATGTTCGGAGGGGCGGCGCCTCGGAGAAATGACAACATCTAAAAGTGGTTACCTTCTAACCTTTTAAACTGCATGATGATTGCAATTCTTCACGCAGGCCAGTGAGACACTTGACATTGTAGTAAACTGATGACAACACACATGCTGCTCTGTGCTGCATAATCACATACAGCTGTGTTGACCAGGAGGAGTAAGGAGAGGTTTCCAGATCACTGGTAACTTACCTTTTCATCATTGGCAGCCACCAGTGATTTCATTCCACTCCTAAGCCTCTGCAGCTCCTGGTCTATAAAGAGAAAGCCCACACTGATTATTAATCTGTATAGGCAGCTGCTCATGGCGTATAAATTAGCGTTTGGTATGGACACACAGTGACATGTGGTTATTTAGACAGAAGGGAAAGGCAAAAACACATGCTAGCATGTTGTAGATTTATTCCCCACCAGAGTGCCATCCGAACCATGTATATTTAGATTCACCCAAGCCCTTTTTTAATCTACCAATCATAGCTTTAGCCATCACAGCTTTTACATATTTGGGCCCCAAGTCCATAGACACCTCCTTTGTAACTGTTGCAGGCACATAGGCAACATTACTGGTGAGTGACAGTGATTATACTCGGCAAGTGCCCCAGAGATGTGTTTATCTATGACAGACGAAATTAAGAACAAACAGGACTTTATGCTCTCAGGAATCCATGACAGCATAAATGGAATGAAAAAAGCCAAAGGCGAGAGAGATAGTGCATCAAGTCATTTTTGGAAACCAGTCGGTGATTGTCAAAGCTGCCCCTCCGAGCAGAAGCAAACAAAAGATAATGAAATAAAGAGACATGTCTGGAGTAAGGAAATAAATGAAAGATCAAAAAGTAGACATGGCCCATGGGTTTGCAGTGATTTTCATTAAGTACGGTTCAGGCTTACATTTGGTGTTTAGCCTCTTCCTGTACATCTCCTCTGAGAGAGACAGAGACACAGAAACCCGTGATGAGACAGTTTAATAAGGGGCCAAAGACAGACTTTTCCCACAGCTGTTACTGCAAGTTAATGAATGCAAAAAGGAGTCATTAACTGTGTCACCCATCAGGCTGGGCGACTCTGTCAAGAATGAGAGGCTGCTGCTGGCAGGTGGGTCGTTGGGCTCGAGGCCGGGTGCTTTGCTTACCTCTCTCCGAGCTCTCGGGGGATATGGAGGGCCTGGCCAGCAGCTGAGTGTGCAAGCTCTCGATCTCAGCGTTCTTACTGAGCAGGAGCTGCTGAAGGCTGCTGATCTCCGCCTGTGGGTGCCACACAGTGAGGAAACTTAACAGGAAGGACATGCAGGTTGTGTCTGTTTAAACACACACAGCTAAAAGCTCCTTCACACTCACACTAAACAAGACATTTACATACAGTCCCTGCACATGTGCCCACTTGAAACTCAAATTTTGGAAGATACAGTCTTTTCCCACCACTACCTATACATAAAACACCCACAACAAATGCCTCTTTGAATTTTAGAGTGCTTAATATTAGGCCACTACTGTTTGGAGTTTATAGTGTGTTTTGAAGTAAGTTTCAGTAAGGAAAAAGCAGATGGCAGTAAAGTTAGGTTCAGGCTGATGTGTCTGCCAGTGTGTTCTGCCTGTGTGTTGTGTAGAAGAAAGAGGAAGGTGGAAAAATACACTTTTTTGCCTCATATACTCCCTGTTTTACTTCATCAAAACATTACTCCCCAGTGGTTTGTTTAAAAAGATAGAGTAAGAGACATAAACGCTCACAAGAAAGCATTTTATATAGCTCAGTATCTGTGTATCAGCATCTGTAGCCAGTTATTCCTGTGTGCATTGGAGTTTTCCTATCTTGATTCAGGCTAACGATCTGCTACCAGACACCAAAGCTCAAGACGTAATGTGAAGTGTAATATTTGTTAATTTTGTAAGCATTCAGTTAAAGTAAAGATGCCGATAGGATATTTAATGAAAGCAAAAATTAAAGAACTGCAGATGCAGATTCACAGAACTACCAAAATGATGGAGGTATGTGGATAATTTCAACCTTTTAAAAAATGTCGGGCAACACTCACATGAATGAAGTAGCAAACTCAAACTACTGTTTGAGTGGGCCGGCAGAGCAGCACAATGAAATATGATAATAATATAATACACAGACAGATAATTGTACCACAAGGGAAGGACAGCAAGAAAGACAGAGGGTGAGATGATGAAATAATAGGTAAGATAATACATTTATCGAAGGGTGAGAGCAAGTAAAACCGCTCCAAAGAAAAAAAAAAGAAAAAAAAACCCTAAGAAGTTAATGCCATGGGATCGTGCCAACATACACAAGTAGGACATTAAAAAAGAGGACTAGGCCATCATTAAATCTATTTCTACTGGACTTTAAAATAGAAGGTGAAATAGTTCTCAGACGTCTTATGAAAACATAGGTAAATGTGCAAAACGGAGTGACTCACTGAACTGGCAGGGACATCGGTTTGGAGAGCGTTTAGGAAAGTTGAGTGGACAGTTAGCAGTGGAATTTGGGCACTGATGGTGTACTGCAAAGTCTAGACACCATGAAAATCGGAACTTTCTTTTTACCTTTGTTGCTTTGAGTTTCTTCTCATACTGTATCTTCTGATCCTCCAGGTGCTCCACTTTGTCCTTGAGGATCCTGAGCTCTTTCAGTAAGCCCTGAAACACAACATATCAGGACATTTAGCTGTGTGTGCACGACATGTAATGCAGCTATGAGTTGCGTCACACACTGATGAGTTTTTAGTGGGTGCTTGTTTCATTTTTGGAGCTGAGGATCTCACACACACACACACACACACACACTGAAGTGAGACAACCCATGCTGTACACAACATTACAAGTCATGCACGCAGGCTGTGCCTACACTTTCTTCTCCGCAGTGGTACTGCTGCTCTGCATCTGAGCTACCCTCTTCCAGGCTGTGCGTGTTCCCATCAGGCCCATCTGGAACCTCTTCTACTTTGTGTATCACCCCCGAGGTCCCATCACAGGCTGGCCCGGGGTTTGGGCCCTCGCCCTCAGTGGACTCGGTGGGGCACGCCACTGGAGAGCTGCCATCAGCTGGGATCTCCAAGGCCTTTTTCTCCTGGATCTTGCTATTGATCTCCTTCTGAAACCTACACATCTGCTCCTGCAGCTCGCTAATGAAATTCACTACAGTCTGACAGATGCAGTGGGGGGAAAAAAGAATTGAGAGGAATGCTTAGAAAGAGAAGAGGAAATACTATGTCTGCGTGCAAATACATCATTATACAGAAGTGATGTTTCAGATCTGTTTTTCCTGCCTCGTGTCAACATAATCAGATATTTTAAATCCTGAGGAAGTGTAGATTTGGTCTTGAGCCTGAGTACAAACATATGCTGAGCCAGAGAAACACAAATCCTTGGCTGGTGCACATACACAGACACACAATCTCATCTGGTCTAGGTAAACACATTATTTTGTATTCGTTCATGAGCCTGAGCCCTTGCTTTGACCAGAACAATACTGTTATGGCATATCTAGTGTAGGTAGGTTGCACTGGTCGATTGAAAGAGAGATGAGCAGGTTTGCCATCCTTTAGAGGTGATCTATGCCCATGTTCCTTCAAAAAGAGTGTAAACAGCAGCCGAGCTATGCCCGGACTGTGGACAGAGGAAGTCTCACTTGGGGTCCGGTACAGCGGATATGACAGATGATACGGAGAGCCTGCACAGCTAAATTTAACTGTGAGCTTACTGGCTCCACAGCAAGGAGGCTTTCAGTTGTTATATGTGTGTGTGTGTGTGTGTGTGTGTGTGTGTGTGTGTGTGTGTGTGCACACGCCCAAACATGCATTTGTGTGGACATGTTTGTGTAGTAGAGGCAGCACGTGGGAGGCCAGTAAAGTGTTCATAGCAGATTTTTTCCTTTTCTCCTTAAGTCTAAACAGCTGTTGTGGGGAAAGTTGTGCTTGTGCACATGATGAAAGCAGGATTAAGAAGTGCTGAAACATTGCCGTCCGCTAAATCACATGTACAGTACGCTGTTTCTTTCTGTGTAGAAATGCAAATGAAAAACCTAAAAATAGTCAAGCATAAATAAATTTATTTTCTCTTTTCATGTGGTTTATAGATGTCAAAAGTTTACGGTCTTATGCTTCCAATTAGGAAGGAGGTCCTTTTTTCAGAATGGCCATGTCAACCTTTACCCACCACCAAGAACAAAATTCTCTGGGCTGAAGCCTACACACACTCATATTTGGCCCACCATCTATCATGCCAGCTCCGCTATGCTGAAACTCTTTTAACCTGAGGACACAAAGGCTCTTTGACCAGCACTGTTTTGACAGTAACTACATACATTACTGTATCCTGCCTGCTGCTTTCCCTGCTTCCCCTTTCCCCAATTCATATGGTCACTGAATGCCCAGGGACGTCTGCCGGTAACCTAACACATGGTTGTTAAGCAAATACATGATTCAGTTGAAACTGACAAAAAATTTAAACCCCTCAGAGACTTTTTTTCCTGTGGGCTTTGCCCAGGAACAACCAGCCAGGGTTCGGGTGAATGTTCCCCTTCCATCCGTCCAGAAGTGTTTATGATCTTCCATAAAATCAGCAGCTGACTTCAAGGTTAGATCCATCAGAACACAAGGCAGATTTTTGTGTGTACCCTCGTCATTCCTGGCAGGGTTAGGTTCAAGTTTCCAAGGACTAAAGTGAAACAGAAGTTCCTGTGGATTTTAGCTAAAGTAGTTCCTCCTTGTAAACAGTCCGCTGTGAAACAAACTGTAAGGTCATGTGGATATGAGGCATTCACAAACTTAGTAATGTTTGCAACTAAAGCAAATAAATTAAGTCCAACTGGCATTGCTCAACATGGCACCCTCTTTTTGATGGATACATACTAGCTTTCAGTAAGTTCTGACAAACAACACAACCATACCTACAGATTGTACTGTATACTTGAAATAAAATACCACAAGAAAAAGCATATTTGGCTCTATGAGAAGCCCTACCTCTGCTTTATGCTGTCGTTCAGCCCCATGGCCCTGTTTTCCCTCCATGTCTGCCAGCTTCAGTTTCAGGTAGGACACCTCCCCCATAAGATTCAGCTTCTGGCTCTCCAGTGACGTCCTATGCAGGAGCTCCTGTCATCAACAACATACAGCAACAGCGTGAGGCAACACAAACAGACACACAGGTACACACAAACAAACACGAGTACATAATCCCTTCAATGATACACACTGCTCAATACTCACTGAACAAAGGCAACATTAAGTATTAGGCAACAGCAAGCTTCCACTTCTGTAATGACCGTCCCCTCAGACAAACCCACTGGTTTCAGACGCTGTTTGAGCTGCTAAATATACACAACCCATGACCACTATTTATAATGCCTATTTCACAGCTCACTCAAAGTACACAGCAGAGGAGGGGAGAGAGAGAGTGTGAGAGAGAACGATACCAGAAGCATGCGAAACATTCACAGAAAGAACATTAAAATAACTTTGACAGGTGCATTTTCCCGTCACTGTGAACTGCTGCCAATCAAACCTTCTGTTTAGGGAGACTATAGGTTTGCTGCACAGTTCTGTCACTATCTGTCCTGTGAATGGCTGTCATCCTTGAGAGTTAAGCCACTACTATGTAGGCAGATGTATTACTAATTTAGTTGATGTCAAGCAGGTGCTAAATCACTTAAAGTCCATAAATGAGCACCGGAGGAAAGCAAACAGTACATATGGATACATCCATTTAAAACTCTGGCTTTGGAAAAAATATCTGGGCTTCTTCTCGAGTGTACACATGGAAAATATTAGAGCTTTGTCACCAGGAAGAGATTTACGGCTCAGGTCCAAAGCCTCATAATGACCATGTCTCCAAGAAACCAGCCCTGGCTGCCCTTTGATACACTGCTCACATGCAGCACGGAGCATAGAAGTAGACACTGAGAGCATTAAGTTCACAACTCATCGGATAGTTAAACGACACATTCCTGGCACTCGTAAAAGTCGTCAAAATAGGTTGAAGCAGTCGAGTTTGGTGGAAATTTAACAAGAGCAGCATTATGAGAATGAGGTGCGTTGATTCTGTGTAATACCTGGTTCATCTTACTCCAGGATCTGCCTGCAGCAAAGGAGGAGTAAGTGTTTCTCCCTCATGGATGAAATGGTTTCGAGTGTCTTGTAGTTTCAGTAGGTTACAGTGTCATACATCCATTCAGTTCAGTGTCCTTTGTAATTTAAAGCAGAGTCTCTGTTGTAGATTTCAAGTCTAAAGCAAATAACTGAGAGTTGCACACACACACTTCGGAGTCTTATTCGAGCACCACCCCTATTCTTTCTCCCTCCCATCTCTCCACCTTTTTTCAGCTGTTTCTCTCTTACTCATTTGTCCCTTTCTCCTCTCTCTCTGTGCGTGTGTGAGTGTGTGTGTGTGTGTGTGTGTGTAAGTGTGTGTGAGTGTGAGTGTGTGAGCAAGCAGGGTCATGGTTGTTACAGGTTGGGGGTGTGGCTAATGCTGTAATCACCTGCCCAGACAGACCAGTCTGGCCCTGCATAAACACTCTGAGACAGTGCCGTGGAATGAGTCTGAAGGTCCTAAATATTTTGGTTGTCAGGGTAATATTCAGCCAGAAACCCTGGAATCTTCGCAAGGAATTTGCTCCCAGGAGGCAGAACTCATCCTGAGTTACAGTCCACAGTTTATGAGGAGAGATCAGATCTCCAGAGGAGTCATATTATAAGATGGATGGGCAGTCTGGGGCTCTGTCACATCTTATTAAATGGAAGAAGAATATTGATATAAAAGCTCTGAATGTCTCTCCATGGAAGTCAGAGTTTCCTGATTTTGGTCCATCAAGCATTTGTTGAGAAAGCCCGTTGTAAGATGTTTTGACACAGTCTGAAAAGCTGCGTACCTGCTGTAGCATCTCCTCTGTGGAGTTGAGTTTGTGCTGATGCTCCACCAGAGAACTCTGCAGATCACTGATCTTGGCTCCTTGAGCTTCCACCTGGTCCGTCAGCACGCTCACCTGTGTGTATTTGTGTGTGTGGACAAACAATTAGCACAGATTTTTCTACACCTAAACATGACAATCAAACTGTTTTGCCATCATTTAGTTTAACTCTTTCTCACATAGCCTAGACTCAGCAAAATTCTTTAGGCCTTAGATCCTCTCTTTTACTTTCTCACAGTACGCATTAATATCAGCTATTTACATTTAATTGCTGTGCTCAATAAAATGTCGACATCTGTGCCAGATCAAACAGTGCAATCGTTCCCTTTGAAAAGAAATGAATGATCCTTTGTGCCTCGGTAGGTGCTCGCAACACTCGAGTGACTCCGGCAATGTCAGCAGAACGCGGGTTAAATGTAAATCTGCAGAGAAAAACTATTAAGACCACATAATAGCTAATCACATGCTAAAAGGCCGGTTGGACCAGCCAAGTGGAGCGGATTTTCTAAAGGAATGCTTTATGCGAGGCCTTAAAGACACAAACAAGGCACCTGCTCACTCACACACACACCTACACACTACAGCACACGGTGGTGCTAGCCTCAACCTGTCTGAGATAAGCACTTGTTCAGCAGTCTCATAACTACACACACCTACACACATGCATATAAAGACAAAGACATCACACAAAACAAGACATTCTGGTGTTGTAACAGCACCAAACCCAGCTTTATAACTGTTGCTGCTGCACCCATGCAAATGAAATACAGCCATTACGCAACATTTACAACATAATACTCTGATCTACCTTTGCCCTTCCTTTCCTTGTCTCTCTTCTCTAACAGTGTTACATGATATGGGAACTGTATAGAAGCAGTTCCCTCTAACAGCAGGGTGTCATATGTCCTCTTTTATGTGAGCACACTGATACCCTGCTGAAAGGTTAGTTTAGGTTAAAAGCTTTTTTAAGGTCATATAAATCAGTGGTTCCCAACCATTTCCCTTAAGGGAGTCCTTTTCTATCACTGAGTGAACTGCAACCCCTGACTAAGTGACATATGTTATGTATATTTATATTAAATCCATAACATTAACAGTACAGAACAACTGATAAACTGTACAGTTAACCTAAATATTGAAAGCACTTTGTGTAAAACGAGCCCTTTAGATGAATTCTGAGCAGATCATTTCCAGTGAATGTTGTATCAGAGAAGAGTTTTCTTGGTATTTTTAGGAACTTTTTATACAATTCTCTGTCTGTTTTGTATATATTCTTTAAAAAGTTAACAATCATACTTAGTAGGCTTCTTTTTTGACAAATTCAGTGTTTACATTGAACACATTCTCACTGCAACCTCCTAACATATCGACGTTGGGTCATGGACCTTCCACATCCAGAGACGACGTGAAAGGTACCCTGGGCGCGTCGGTTGTTGACGTTCTCGAACGCCGTGTCAAGTTACATGCATTGTCTTCTTTCAAAATAAACTTCCGTTTTCACAGGAAATTTACCGTTTACATACAGTCTCTTTCAAAGTAAATGCACCATGTCAGTACAACAATGAAAACAGACATTTTTTTTCCCCTCCAATAACAAATGCACGTGGTAAAGTTTAGGCAACAAAAACAAATGGTTAGGTTTAGGAAAAAAGAGCAGGGTTCGGCTTTAGAATCTTGCAGGACTCAAACACCACTCTCCCAGGTGAAAGTTGGACTTTCGCTGCCTTAACTTTCGTTCTTGTCCCACCACGTTTCACCACTATTAAACTATAACGGCGGCCAGCCACGTATCATACCGACATTAACAACACATTCTTACTCTGACCTCATCACATAATGACATTTGGGATCTTCCACATCCAGATACAGCATGAAAGGTACCCTGGGTATGTTGGTTGTTGAAGTTCTGGAACACCGTGTCAAGTTTTATCTGTTACATGCATTGTCTTCTAACAAAATACGCTTCCGTTTTCACAAGAAATTTACCATTTACATACAGTCAAAGTAGACGCACTACGCAAAATGATGTTTTTTTTCCTTTAACAACAAATGCATGTGGTGTTTAGGAAGAAAACCACAGGGTTTGGTTTTGTAATCTGAAGAGACGCGAGCATCGCTCTCCCGGGTGAAAGTCAGTGTATGTTGGACCCATCCATAACACCTCCCACCCGCCCTACTGGGACTTTCACCGCCTTAACCTTCAATCTTGTCCCACCACGTTTCCCCTAACACCGTTGAGTGTATATACTATAAACGTGACCTGCTGACATTAAAGGATGGCTTTTTTTTTGTCAATGTCTGACACTGCAAGTCAAGCGCCGAATTTCAACCACTTTGGAGTCAGACCGGGATGTTACATCCCCTGATGCTTGGGCCATTGTTCTACAAGCCCTTTGATTTTTGACAGTGTACTTTTTTAATGCAGGATGAGGCTGTTCAGCAGAGCGAAGGTGCTGTGAATAGGCAGAAGTGAATGAAATGCTGAGATTAAGTCCTGCTATATATGTAGAAAAAAGTTTTCTTTCACCCCTTAAAATCAAGAAGGCCTCGCGACCTCCTTGTGAAGCTTTGGCAATCCCTAATAGGGGTCAGGACCTCCAGGTTGGGAACCAGTGATATAAATCTTACCCAGAAAGAGACAGACAGAGGTCACATTGTTCTCTACATTCGGAGTGACTAATCTCACCTGCAGAATTAGTGACTCTTTGTCTCCCTCCAGACGTGATAAGCGCTCCTGGTAGGACTCACTATTGCCAGACGAGTGGAGATTTACCTTCAAAATAAAGGTCAGCTATTAAGTTCAGTATGTTATGTTAATACAGGACAGCTGCCCAGTGGGTCACATTTGCTTTTCTTCAATGAGGTTACAGCTTTAGACACGTACACACAGAACTCTCAGTGTGGAAAAGTCTGTAAGTGGTTTACAGGTCCTAATCCTGCATTAATAATTTTAACATTTTATACTGGCTGATTAGTGGAAAAAAAATATTGCAGGCTGAAGGGCTGAGCTCAGGGCTGCCTGTGCAGTCAGGGATCTTTCAGAGCCATCAGTGTGCAAGGGAAGCAAAGTGCAACCAAATGGGCTCAAATTTCTCAGAAATCCAGGCTTTCAACCACAATCATGGAAACATTATGTAGACCAGCGTCCATCATCCAGAGCCAACAAGTGGTTTGCAATAATTTTAAAATACCATTAAGCCTTTAATATGCTCTTTGCATCAGGCTTTAAAAACACTAGATACATGTGTTTTAGCCAATGTGAACAGAATGTACAGTATGCATACTTGCAGTAATACTTCAGATATCCTTTCACTTAACTGTTTGTGATCAATAACATTTGTGTCCTACACAGCTCCTCCTCTCATCCTTGGCATTTTTCTTAAGTGTTCAAGGCCAGTAGACTCAAGCTTGCTCTAAATTGTGAACAGTTCCCTGAGTTTTATCTGTGTGCCTAATTATTTCCAAACTCTTTTTCCAGCCAAATTAAAATCCAAACCCATCCAGATCCTCCTAACTACAGACATGCAATAATCCAAACTTTCTTTTGTTTCCAAAATCATGGGGAACACACAAGTGCTTCACCACTTAGACTGTAATAATGTGAATAATCTCCCATGAGGTTTATGTCTCACAAGCTGCCCTGCTCTGCAAGAGTTCAACTCTTGCGACCATAATAATAATTTAAAAAATCCACAGTTGCAATTCAGTCCAAAATAATAGCTCAGACTTCCTTTGTGAAACTTTACAGTTGTAATTAGTGTTGGCCCCTGTGAGGTGTTGATGACACTCAGCAGATTTTTTGAGCTGTAGTTTTTGGTGTGGTTTCACTGCAAGATAGAAGATGTAATTACAGAGCTGTGGTATTGTATAGCGTTACAAAGTACAGGTGTTTTATTTATGTCATTGTTCAGTGTTTTATCTTTTCACATTTTGTATCTGTGTTTCCTGTAGAGCACCTTGTGTATTCGACTTGAAACGTGTTCTATAAATGCATATCTACTTGATTATTTACTGTTTCAAAAATGTACTATCTTCATATCAGTGCTGCCTGGTTTGACAGTTTGACCGCAGAGACTCCTCAAATCTGATTGGCTTTTTTTGTACGCATGCGGTGAAGCCACAAGAGGGGCTACAAGGCAATAGAGTAGGCAGGGGAATATGATTTTTTCCCCAAATTATCCACCTCATATAGTTGTGTGTGAATATAGTACAGGTTTCAGCAAATATGACCATGAAGCAATTTTTTCTTTTTTTAATAAAAGTTACCAGCTACAGCTTTAACCAAAGACATAACGTATCTCCAGTCAATGTGATGAAGATTAGTCATATCCTGAGTATTGGAAAAAAAAATCAACAGTTTCCATGTGTAGGTAATATATGTTGGGTAATAGGGAACATGTCCTTGATACATCATGAACCCAAGGCTCAGTGACTGACAGGTACATGCATGCTTCCTCTATGGCTTTAACATTCAGTAAGAATCATAAGCTAATGGAGGCAGTGAGGACTAATGCCTTCTTAATGGCAGCAAGATGGTATGTGCTGTCCAAAGACTCCCTATAGGCTAAAGTGGCAGGAAATGGCCTCCACTGACATGCACATCCATTCTTCTTTCACCTCACTTTAACACTTTAACCTTGTGAACAGTTTGGCAGGCTCGTATTCAACATTTCACCCATGTGCTGATCCATTTAAAGACATTTTAATTCTTTAATTAAGTAGAATTCTGCCAAAATATTTAATTTCAGCTTTAATTGAAAAAAAATATTCTTCGGTAATTTGGAGAAATAACTCACACCTCACCAAGGTGCTTGTTGCTCTGTTAAGTAAAATCAGAAATGTTTCAGACACAGAAAGCAAGACATGCAGTATTTCTGTAATCAAATAACAGCTGCTGCTGGTAATGTTTAAAAGCAGGGTTCTTGAAACCCTCAAAAGTTTGGGAATTTGAGAGAAGAAATCAGGGCCTCGGAAGATTTTGGAAGAAGATGTGGCTCATCAACAGGGCTTGAAATAATACGTTTGTGTAGGAATAGAAACTGAAGGTTTTTTTTACACTGTCTGCCATCACAGTAGCATGGCACCACTGAGAAGTGTTCACACATCCAAACCTCTGTCACTTGTTAATTGTTGTTTGTGAGCATCTGTAAAACCTGCTAATTCTCATTATAAAATTCTCAATGTTAGAACAGTAATTAACCCTGGCCCGTGTCGCAAACTATGCTGTGTTGGCTTCTTGACTTTGAGGCAAGCGGGCCTGGAAAATCATTGAAAAGTCCTTGAATTTGATGTTTAAGAAGGTGTGGGAACTCTGTACAAGTTAGCTGCTTCTCTTTGCAGTCCATTCTGCAGGACACCTCTTCAACTCACAAGCAGAACATGTCTTCCTCCCAAATTATCTACCATGGCAACCATAATTATGTTGTAAAAGCAACAACACTGCAAAACCAAAATAAACAACCATTATCCTTTGTGCAACTTTTGGTGCAGTACGAAGAGCAGACATGCAAGTGCAGAACGTCTTACCTTCCTAAGCCAGGCAAAGTGTTTGTAGAAGTCAATATCATACTCCATTCTGCAGGCCCATTGTACCGTAGGTCTGGCTCTTAGTTACTAACAGAATCGAGCCACTGCTATAAAGCATCAAGGAGGATGAACAGATACCAAATCCAGAGCAAGACAAAGCAATGGCTCTTAACTGTGCTCCCTGAATCCAGCTCTCCTGCTTTTACAGACCCTCCATACTGCAGTTGTAGAGAGAGCATAGAGGACCTTGGTCCGTGTGGTTTGGAGTCTGGGCAGCCTGAGACTTTTAGAGCTGAGGCGAATAACTCAAACTATGCCAGTTGGCTGTACTCGCTCTCTTTCTTCTCTTCACTTTTTTCTACCTCTTTCTTTCTAACTCCCCCTTTTTTTTTTGCTTTCTCCTGCTTTCTCTCTCAAGCACACTCAAACTGCTTCACTGTTTTCTGCTGCATTTCTGCTGCACCATCTGATCTCTCATCTTTTCCTGTCCTCCCTTTTCCTTCTCCCGTACCTCTCTCTGTCTGTCTCTACCCCCGTCTCGCTCTGTCTGAAGTACCTCACGGTCAAGCTAATTTTGCGGGGCTTCCTAAAGGGGCACGGGGGAGAGGAAACTTTCTGCAGCACATGCTTGTCAGATGTGGTGCGGAGCAAGAAGTCAGTAAAGACGAGGCAGGAGGAGGAGGAGGAGGAGGAGGAGGTGGAGGAGGTGGAGACTGGAGGAGAGCATGAGTGTAAAGTTGACAGTATCATATTAAAGTTGAGCAGAAGTAGGTAATTACTGGTGGTGGCTGACCTGGACCAGACAAACAAACAACTGTTTGCAGAAAAGGGAGGACAGGAGTAGAGCCGGGGAGTAAGAGTGAAGGAAATAAAGGGAGTGAAAGGGGGAGCCAACTGCTTGTACTTGAAACAGGAGCTCTGGATCTCATTACCGGTGCAGTTTGCAATAGATCCAGCTTCCAGCTCTCTACTTCTTAGCACAGGAAAAAGCCCTCCAGATGTTGATGACCAGGATCAAAGACCCTAATAAAACCCATGTACACATGGAGTAGTAGAATGTAGTAGACTGTGGTCGTATACGCCTTTGCACAATTCTCCAACACAACCCTTTCTCATGAATTGGATTTGCATATTTCAGATTGGGTACAGGATTTGCATACTGTGTGTTACATAACGCTGTTATCATCCACCCCTGTTTGAGCGTTGGGGGCATGCAGATGTTAGTGACACCGCACTCACCTCATCTCTCTCCAGCCATTTCAATATAACGTGTGCTGTTTCAGTGGAGACTTGTTTCCTGAGAGAGTCCTGTTCTTCATCACTCCCCTGCCCTTCCAGAACTGCCCTGAGGGCCTCGGTCAGCTGGAGAGCCTTGAGGGAGGGGTCCTGGAGTGGGGCAACGGGCAACTGTGAGGTGCACTCTGAGGTTTGGCAATCCTGGCCGCCTGAATGCATAAGAGCACCGAACAGCCCTTCACCCATTTTGCCTAAAGGAAAGAACAACAGGAGAAGTACCTGAGGACATTTGATGATCCTCATTTCTTGGGCATCAGTACACAACACATACAGAGGAGACTGGCAGGCTGCAGCACAGTAGTTCCTAAAATGGGCTCCTGAGGGCGCTATTGTGCTCCAATGTGACTCACTGGGCATAAACAGCATCAAATGGATGTGCACTGTGGGTTCTGAAATCCACAAATTAGAAGTTGAGCTTGTAGGTTACTGTAATCATCGTGTGGAAGTTGCAGAAAGTACTTTTCATATGAGTTTGTAATGTGTGTATTTTCAGACACTGATTGATTATTAGTTGTCGTTAGAGTGTGCTAATGGTTGGATTGCTACCTCTGTTATTGGGCATTGTCTTCTGACCCTAACAGACTGCTGAGGTTGTGACAAACAGCACTGACTGAAATGTATCACCTCTGCTAGAAAATACAGCAGGGAAGACACTTGAAAGTAACTTACTGTATACAATTAGTGCAAAGTGAGATTTACAAGCTCTAAGAGAAGCTACGAAAAAACAAAAGCATCAAAGTGTGTGCCTGACTGAAGAATATAGAGGAGAAAGATTATAGAGAAGAACCCATATATCAAAAACCTGCTTACTTCTATTTCAAACCTCTCCAGAGGAAACAAACGGATGTCTTGTTTTTAGCAAAGGCTTCACTTACTCTTTTCTTCTCTAGTTCTTGTTCATAACTCATCCGTCACAATTTTAAAAATCCCAAGAATGTTTTTTCCTGCTTACTGTATGTGTATGTGAGAATCACATGGGCAGCGCCGGCTGTACGGAGGCCTGCAATTACAACCCAGCCAGTCTATTGAAGGTCTGATAATGAAACAAAATCTCTTACCAGCAATAATGTCATCCATTTGCTCCAAGGCAGCCTCCAACATGTGGCTGGCATTTGACGCCATGGCAACAAACTGTCTTATAAAGCAGCACTAGCAGATCCTAATTCACCGGTATACGAGGAAGACAGAGTGTGAGCTGGTGGAATGAGAGGGAGTGTGAGAAACCTTCAACAGAAGGACAGAGCGTCGCAGACTACTCCCCCTTTTTTTTTTTGTTGCACTTAGATCTTTTTACAGCAAAACTACACACAACAACACAACACACTACAACAGCTGTCCTGACATCTGAGTGACTTCCAAGTAAATAACCTCCTGAGTGTGGCTTCTGGGTTTAAACTCCCCTGTCATTTTGCGGCCGGAGCCATACCCATTGTCAGCGTTGTTATCCACACGAGGCCGGAGCTCATGTTTAGAATAGTTTGTTTCTTTGTTTCTTAAAGTGTTCATTGTTTGTTTGTGTACACTTTCACTAAACACCAGCTACATGCGTGGATTTATTCTGACGAGTTAGCGAGAAAAGAAACAAAGTGGAAGAAACAAGGATAACTGTATGTTTAGCTAAAGACCAACAGTTCTGGTGGAACCCCAGAGGTCAGATCAGCACATCGGACTACAGAAACCAGAGTTTGATTGATGCTGATGACAGAGGACACACTCCATAATGATAAGCAGTGCACAATGAAGCTGGAAAAAGCAGCAAGTGGCTGAGCAGTCGCACCCATAGGAGCTGGGGGTTTGGTAATATTTCATTCATTGACTCATGTTTTGACTCAGTATATTGACATTTTGTATACCATCATGTTGTTGTTGTTACTGTGTTGTAACAAGCAGCATCAGCAGGATACGGCAGTGAGACAGTGATGTGCGTTTAATCATACGTCTTTGTGATGGAGGAAAAGCTTTTCTTGGGACAGAGATCATCTGTTGCCCTTAAAGCAACTCTTACCTTTGTTGCATTTCACACAGCGCTTAAAAAAAAAAATTGAACATCCACAACTCCTGCCTCCCTCCAAAGTCCCATCCCTCTCCTCCTGCAACTCCACCTCCCTCCAAAGGCCTATTCCCCCCTCCTCCATTACGTCCTCATTACGTCTATGATAGATGTAGGTGCCGAGTTGGCAAGGTAATGTTAGATACACGGAAGAGGAGAGTGAGCGAGCGTAACATGCCAAGAGAAGAGTAGAAGAGAAGAGGAGTAAACTACTACTAGCAAACTAAACATAACATTACCTGTCCTGCACACTCAAACGCAACCCCAGAGTTTTGGGCCTCCACATGGGGAAGACAGACAGGACGCTCGACCAATCTGCAATGATTGGTTGGAGTTTTCTTTTGGTTGGAGAATGGTATAATTATGAGTTTGTATTTCTGGTGGAATTCAATTTACTGTGCCATTAACTTATTAATAGCATTTTAACCTAAACAAAGAAAAGCGCAAAATTTCCAGAAAGGTAAGTGTCGCTTCAAGAGGACATTAATATTTGGAAGTCAAACATTGTAATTTGTCATTATTATTAGTGCATATAGTATAGTATGATATAGAGTTTATTGCTGAACTTCTCTGCCCCTAGTCCAACTCCTGACCTCTTAGATCCTCAGATCAGTGTCTTTTAACTGTCCCACGATCGAGGCTGGTGGGTAAGGGAGATTGTGCCTTTGTGGTAGCTGCTCCAAAAAGCTCTGGAATAACCTCCACTCTCAAAGCTAATTTAGCATGTGTACATGTTGGACCTGAGCTGGGAAAATAACCACAATGAGTTGTGCTTGCTTGTTATCTGATAAGAAATGACAAGATGTTACATTTATGATTTAAGGCTCCTTTGTTGTAATACCTTACTAACCTCTATAATGCTAAAAAGTGCTAATCTATAATCTTTTTTTCTGCATATCTTATTGTGAAACCTAAAACATACAAAATAAAATAAGGAGAATTATTCTAACGTTAATATAAATCATAATGGAGGACATTTGGCGTATTATTTGTTACACATATGAGTTAAGTATATTTCTTAACATTTCTTCATTCATTCTCTTTGGAGCGTAACCGCACAACTGCCACTTAGTTGATATATTTTCTTCTTATTTAGTCTGAGTACGTCACTTGACTGGTTTGACTGGTTTGAACCCTCTTCACCTTACCCTGTGTTTATTTCTGCTGACATCACTTGACTTACTGTCTGAAGTTTCATATTGTGTTTTAGTTCCTAAACTGTGCTTTGGTGTATACAGCATGGCCAACAGGGAGCATCGCTAGTCAAAAAAAATATCATATCTTCCCACAGTTATCGTTTTCATACAGTACAGTAAGGTTACTTAATAAAAAAGCATACCTGTGCTGCTGTAACACATAGGCATAGGGACTAAATTTCTACTGAAAATATGGTTTGAAAAATGTACTGCAGTTTTTCAGCATGCATCTAAATGTAAGATAGTTTGACATCTGTTGGCCCCATTAGGGTAATGGAGAAAAGATTTCAACTTCCATAGAAAGCTGTTCAGTTTCTCCTCTCTCAGGATATTGAATACATTTTTCTTTATATCAGATCTTTATTGACAATGTACAGTAAAGAATGCACCATATATTTTTTTACATACTCTGTGTATAAGGCAATAGATGTTTGTTTCTGTGTCTAGGCTAAGTACCATGTGAAAGTTCATGTTGTACACTTAACTGTTGTCTTTTTTATTATTCACACTGCTGTGCTACTTGGTTTTTTAAATTCCCACAGCACATGTTAGATGCCAGGAGGTCAGCGTCCTGCCTTGTGGTTTGTAAAGGGTCACCCTCCTGGTCTATATCCAGGAGTCTATTTGAAATCACATGGACAGGAAAAAATATTTGTGTCCTGCCATTGGAATTATGAGACAGATATTCATTATGAACCTGTTCTGAATGAACCTCAAAATAAATAGCTGCAAACCCTTCATCACCTTGCCAAAAAATGTTGCTTTCTATTAGGATAAAAGTATCAGTTGGCAAGCTTTTAAGTCAATCTAATCCTGCCATAATACAGGACAAGAGAAGTGAAAACAGCATTCTACATCTGCAAGGGCCATTTAAGCACATTTGTACCTGGCAAATGGTTTATGTTGGTACTACATGCTATTTATATTATATCATTTAAGTTCTTTTAATAGCTTATGTATCATTTAAATACCCTGTATAGATGGACTATGCTGGGGTTATTTATTTATTTGCTATTATTCTTTCAATATTTTTGTCAATATAGGATGAATCCTAGAAAATGGG